CCGGCAGATTGCCACGAGAAGCGGCCGCCGAAATGGAAAAGGTGGAGAGGCAGACAACGGATGAGAGGAGAGTCACGTGACTGCCGCCCCGCTGTGGCGAGACGCCGAAACACACCTCTCCCGAGCGAACAGGTGTGTTTCGGGTCCTCGCCGCTGCAAAAGCTGTGCGCTGACGTCCAGGTTCCACGAGAAATAGCTGTTTGACGCGCTGTGCCACCAGATCCTCGCGCTCCAAATCTGCGACCGGCTCCGTCGTCGAACTGCCAGGCTTTGTGAGTATAGAGGAGGCTATGGTTCAACGCAAGAGCAAAGTTAATCATGATGTGAAAGATGCGTGTCGATAAGCGATGTGCATTAGCATAGCCCGCTTGCCTCTTCATCGGAATACTCGTAAACGGTGGCCGTCTCGAGTTTCGGCCTTTTCTAGGGAGGAGGCAGTCGAATTCACGCGGGACATACAAGCAATCCTCGTCATCGCTGTTACTCTAGCCGCTGCTGCTGGAGCTGCATGCCAACTTTACGACGAGCTGTCATCGAGCAGCAGTAAAGCGGGCGAGCGGCCATTGCGAATTCTTCCGAGACGAGATGCCCGGCGAGAAAAGAAGTCACGTGTGCGCGCCGAGGGCTGGCCAGGCATGCAGCTCTCGGTCAATCAGCCGAAATCGGCGGAGCGACTTTTCTCGGATCCGGATCGAGATCTGAGTGGAGTGAGACGAGTGGAACACGTCCGGACGTCCGCCTCGATCCCGATCGCCCTAAATAGGCGCGCTCCAAAACGACCTGTCGAATTCACCTTTATTTGTTCTAACAATCCTTAAACTATGGCAAAATATCAGACTACTGGAAGCACCCTCAAGTGATTCCGATTTACAAAAATGGTCCAAATATCGATTTTACTAACTATATTCGCGGTTAGAACTTAGGGTATCGCCGTCTGGTGTAATGTTTTCGCAACCCAGAGTAAGGATGCTTCAAGTTCCTTTGCTGGTGCAAGCACATGCAATGCCTTCCATGCACTGTAATCATGAAAACATAACCGTGTGGGTGGCACGTGCACTACCCGTATTGAGGTAGAGTGCCTTCATACACACTATTGAGGAGAACAGAAGCGCCCCTAGCGAGCTGCTCACCGCGAATAGACCCATATACCGCTAACAAGTGTTCCCAGTAAGCTCACGGAGAACAGAGTCCATTTAAAACATAACAGATTACTTATGCACCAACAACTTCTTTTTCTTTTTTTTGTAAACCAGCACGGCTTCCGGAAGTCCCACTCTTGCGAAGCACAGCTTTTCGAGTTCAGCACTGACATTCATGAATAACTTCATTTCAGAACAGGAACGCACGCCATCTTTATTGATTTCCAGAAAGCTTTTGATTAGGTGCCTCATCATCGTCACATGTTAAAGATTCGTTCGTTAAAAATAGATCCGTTTGTAACAGAATGGATTTCAAATTGTCTTTTTAATCGTACATAAAGCATTCGTTGTGGGGTTAAAGCAAGGAGGTTAGAAGTACTAGGAGGGGACACGTTGCAATATTGGTGAAGCCTAGTCATAAAAAGTTTAAACGATTTTGTGCCCAGCGTGACCGCAGATCTCTCTGGCGATTGGTGCGCGTGACATGTCACGTGCGAGATGGATGGTTGATTGTAGGAGGACTCCTGCAAGCTTGCGCGCGCTCCGTCCGGTAGGTTTTATCAGATCGAAGGCTAGACTGTGGTGTATTGTAGTAGCCTTTAGCAAGACGATGGCTAGCTACGGTCACGTGATGCGGTCACGTTGGCATGGTAAGTGAGGAGGGTAAGGAGGAAAATGAGAAAGAGGCGAGGCATCAAGGGAGCATGGCTTGTGGAGGCTACGCGGCCGACGTCATGCCCTCTCCTACCCTTCTATTCTCGATGGGTTAAAGATTCATTAAATCAACACGTAACATCGGGTGTGCCTCAGGAAACCGTGCTCGGTCCGTTGCTTTGTAAACGACTTGCCACTTGTATTCGGTCAACAATTATATTGCGACGATTGCGTGATCTACCCGAAGGTGAAGGCTTTGGATAATTGTGCACTTTTGCAGAGCGATCTGTCCTGACTCGAAACATGCATGGTGTAGTGAGTGGCAGGTGCAAATTAACGTTTTCAAAACAAAATACTCGAACTTCAATAGCAAACGTACTTGAACACTCTCCGACTATGTACGGCATTTTCAGTAGCTCGATAGAAAATGTCTTTACATACAAGTATTTCGGAATCTATTTCACCTCCAACCTTTCCTGGGCGTCGCACATTAATCACATCACTGCAAAAGCAAACAAAACCCTAGGCTTCCTGAGGCGACATCTGTCATCACGAGAAACAAGATTGATCGCATACTCGACTCTCATTCGATCAAAGCTTGAATACGCGTCTGTCATCTGGAATACATATCAGTCATTTCTAATTGATAAGCTAGAAGCTGTCCAAAGTCTTCGCTTATCACCCTCCGCAATTATACCTGTACAAGTACCATACCACTAAAACAAACAAAACAGCATGTCTCTTCTCGCAGACCGACGTACAGTATCGCGATTGGCTGTCCTACATCCGTTGTACTGTCATTCACCTTCAAAGAAAGATAAATATTGTAGAGCCGCCAGACATAGCTCATCGCATGCAGACAACACACATAAACTTCATCAATAGTGACAGATGGGCCAGTTGGTACGTTATCTCTTTTGACAAAATGCGCCGCAAACAGGGGAAGGGAAACAACACGAAGCGCTACTTTCACCTAAATGTTTATTGAAACAACACGCACTATTTATACACCCAATCGGGCTTCTCAAGCAAGAATTCAAATTCCTTGTCTGTTCGATGGAATGACGGGGCACTTATAAATCTGCAATCTAATGTTCAATAGCTCTCTAGAGATTTTGCTTCTTAACTTGCTCAGAATTTTTTTTTTTTTTTTTTTTTTTTTTTTTGCACTTTTGGGGCGCTAGGGCATCTGTCGCAGTGAATAGCTAAATTGTCCGAAGGGGAATTCCTTACTGATAGCGCGTGCTCTCTTGCCCTTTCATTAACGCATCTGCCCGTTTGGCCCACGTACAGTGCTAATCACACTTGTCTATAACGCGCGAGCGAGCGGCTTTCTCCGGGGAGCGCTAGACTGGTGGCATTCGCGGAAACTAATCTAGTCACGTGGCGCAACATGGAACGGCCCGCTCGAGGGGTGTCCTGCCCACCCTATCAGCTTGATAAGCGATAAAAGTAAAATGCTTTGTGATATATCTTTTTTTTTTTTTTTTTTTTTTTGATGACGAAATCGTTGATACGCCTTCATGCTTTAGCGTGTTTATTGTTCGAGCAATGAATGACGTTTGTAAAAAGCGTGCGAGCAGCCTTCCGCGTTCGCCGCCAGCTGATAAAGCGGGCAGGACGACACCCCTCGAGCGGGCTGTTCCATGTTGCACCACGTGACTAGCTTAGTTTTCGCGAATGCCACCAGTCTAGCGCTCCCCGGAGAAAGCCGCACGCTCGCGCGTTATAGACAAGTGTGATTAGCACTGTACGCTTTTCCGCATGTCATTGGAATATCGTATACAACCGAAGATGCGCATTCCACGAATTTCCTAGAGTGTTTCTTTCTGAAAACGTCACCTCCGTCTTTTTTGCTGCTGCTTTTTTTTGGCACAGGCTGGACAGCTTTTCCGGGGACATATAAAGTTCACCTCACCACCCCTAGGACGAACCTCCTCCAACAATTGTCAATTCCTGAATGGAACTCACTTCCCGACGACATTGTAATAACAGAGGAGCCCATCAAATTCCGAGCCGCACTTGCTACTCTCTAAGTTATGCGAAACCTTGTTGTTTTTTTTTCCTCGTGTTAAGTTTATATACCTTTATGTCTGTTCCCATTATGTCAAATGAGGGATGCGCAGGCGGAGATAAAATGATAAATCAGTCCGATCCCGATTGACTTTCCTCGATTATCTCCAAAGATAATGGCCCGCTTCCCCGCCCCCGCAAAATACGGCCCACTCGTGTTGTCACGTTAATTTTTATCTTAAGAATAACGCGGTTTTTGACGGGAGAAATTGAGACACCTCTAAAGGCGAATTGTCGCCACCCGTCCAAAGAGCACTTAGGCGACTGATACGGAGAATCGAACACTGGCCCACACCGTGAGCCGGAATACGGCGAATAGACGGAACAAACGCGCCGATACAACTTCCCCCATTTGGTCCCCGACCTCAAATCTTGGCGCCCAAAAGCAAGCGACTTTTCGAGCGACGATATTTCCGACCATCGGGAGTTGCAAGCAGAGTTCATGAAACACGAAGCCCAAGACACTTTTCCGGCGATCCTCGCTATTCTCAAGTCCCAATCCTCGACCGCGCTTCGCGAAAAACGCGCGAAAGATTCGCAAAAAATACCCCGAAGCAGTCTACAAGCCGACGAGTAATAGCTAGGAAAGCAAGAAATCAACGTCCCAAAGTCACGTGTCACTTATTCAGGCGTCACAAGACGAACGTAAACCATGTGACGTCAACCTTGTGACGTAAAACCCAAACGCAGCTGCGAATAGTAGTGTGCCTAGATCTGAGAGTGTTCATCTCATAATTTGGGGTCACGTGGTCTCTGGGCCTTGACCAGCCGCGCTTGCGACACAAGCTGCATGGAGAGTTCCAACCGCCTGTCGATCCGCTCCCCTTCTCGCCGCGCGAGAACCCGCCATTAAATTGCAAGGACGGCCTTCACAGTTTGAGTTGCTTCCTCTCTCCGAAACGCTCACGTGGTTTGTAGGTCTCGTTTGCAACACGAGCTGCGAGGAGGTGGTGTCTCCGCCCAACTCCGCCCTCCGCCTTTCTCTTTGCCACGCGTGGCACATGCACAGGTGTGACCCATCCCCGCAGGAGGGGTTTGAGATGGACCCTCTCTTCAATCGAGGCTCCCTAGTGCATGTCGTTGCCGATTGCAGCGCTGTGATGTCGCGCGGCGGCGCTTTCTGCAACTAAGGTCGCAGCGAAAGGCGAGAGTGGATGCTGGCGCCGGCGTCGAAATCCATCGCATCCGCAGGCGTTGGCGGCGGAACTGGCGAGGCGCCGGCGCTGCGTTGGCGCCCGGAACGGTGAATGTTGCGCGCTCCCCGGATTTTCCCCGAGGGCTCGAGACGCTGATTCAGCCCGCAGATGAAGGGATCACCCCTAGGATTACCGTCGGTTTTGCGTCGCAAGTCCAGCGAGGATTTGACGCGAGTGCGAACGTGGTTGGGAATGCAGCATCCACTGGCCCCATCACTGAGGAGCACTTGATCGCCTCAGCCTGTGAGTATCCTTTGTGGACCCCCCCTCCATCCCTCTTCTGCTTCCTTTGAAAGCGTCGCAAACTTTGATTCGCCTTGTTCCTGCGTTTGGCCTCGGATCGAGCATCGCACATATTTCTGGCTCTCCAAATATTTTTTTTTTTTTTTTTGTTCGTCTGCGAGAGCTGACGTTGATCTCTTCTGCCCGCGGCGTTTCTTGTCAACTGGTTATAGGTATGAGAAGGACCTACTAAAACTCGATGCCTATTATATTGGATGAACCATGTTGTTTTGCTCTCAACATCCGAGATATATATGGGCTCCAGAAAGGCGTTGCATGATTCGTTTCATCGTGTCCCTTTTCTTCTTCCTCAGATTATTATTGTTATCGTAAATACTCATCACTCTGCGCGTGTGCTTGTGCTATCTAGTAACACCCAGGGCGACTTCGGTTCATTGGTTCTAGTTTCGACCGATTTTGACGTCGGCCTTTATTCTGGCCGTCGTCCGCAAACTCCGCTGGCACCGATGAATCGCAGCACAGCGCGAGGATCAATGTCGTACGAAGCGGCTCGATTTGTCGCCCCCCCCCCCCCCCCCCCCCCCTTTCCAAAAAAAAAGAAACGGCTTTTTGACGTGGAAGCTGTTCAAAAGTGGCTGAACTTGGCGATATCCTGAAGCGTCTAACTTTTAATCAGTGGCGTAATTAGATGGAGGGCGAGGGGGTACAAGTGCCCCGGGCGCCACTTGGGAGGGGGCGCCGAGTCGAGTCTACCCATAATAATAATATAACGATGATGATGATGATGATGTCATTATCACTATCACCATGAGGGGCGCAAAATTTAATTTGCCATGGGCGCCGTCATATGTAGTTACGCCACTGCTTTTTATTAAACAAAAGCCGGGTAGCGGCAAAACATCTGTACTTTTTTTTTTTTTTTTTTGCCTCTGTGTGTGCGAAGAATTTTGTTTGTGAGCCACGGCAGGCCCGGCCTCTTTGCAGTGTCTGGGTTCCCTACGAGCTTCATGAAGAAAAAAAATTATTTTTCCTAGACGGTTTGCACCTGGTGCTTAGTCGACACGGAAAAACTCGTTGTACGTGGCAGAACAAATGCCCGCTTTTGTTGAGAGTTGACGAGCTTCCTCTTAACTCGGGCTGTCACCCGGATCGTCCCGTGTAAAATGACAAGTTTGAGAGTACCACGTACACTTTGCTCGAGTTTTTGTAGTTGTTTTTTTCCGATGAAAAGGAGCGCGCAGACGAATGCGTCACGATCGTGTCCGAAGGAAAGTTGCTCGATGCAGTGGCGCGTCCTTGACCGGCAAAGACAAACAACACGTCTACGAGGAAAGCATACATTTCGGGCGGGAAGAACGTGGCGGCGTCTTCCACGTTCGTGCCAGTCGGTCGGCGCCTTGGGGAAAGGCCGTTGCCTACGGGCTTTTTTCGGCGCACCCGGTCCAAAAATAAAGTAATTTATTTTCCGAGCTACCGTCTGCTGGCACCCAGTGCCAGCAGACGGTAGCTCGGAACGCGTCTGCCCGCAGGAAGCATTGCGCCTGCGCACGAACTTCATCATACGCGAAAGCACAGCTGGCCGCATACCAGCTGGGAGTACACAAATCATCTTAGATCGTGCGAGAAACGAATGGCTTCTTGCGCGCGCAGTATACTTTTTTTGTGGATCTTTCCTATTCCCCACACACGAAGGCGGCGCGACCTCTGGTAGGCAAAATCTGCGCAGTATCCTCTCGGCACTTCTGACCGTCGTTAGGAAGCTGACGTATTTCAGAGTTTGGACTGCGATGCGTCGTTGCATGCGGCGCTTTTTTTACTCGACGCGAATGTTGGCGCGCCTGCAAGGTTGCGCAAGACGTTCGAGGAGGCGGCGGGGCGTTTGCGCAACATGCCGACATCTCCGACGGCCGTTTGCCGAGACGATTTGCGACGAATATGATCCCTCCGAGGAACGGACAGGCCGGACTTTAGGTCGAGTCACGACATCCCCCTCAAGCGATAGGAATCCTGCCTCCCTGTTTACGATGCAATACAAATTATTACGTTTTTCTTTTTTTTCTCGAATATAATACCTTATGGAGTGAAGCGAATAGATATTTTCGCTGACGCTTCTTGTTGCTGCCGAGTGACGAACAAACAGTTGCCTCGATAATAATAAATAATAGTAAAAGCGTATCTTTCATTCCAATAGGCTCTCAGCGTGTGTACTACAATCTAAGGAAAAGACAAAATGTCCAAGCGGTCCAGCCAGCTGACGAGCATTTTCCTTATTTCTGTAGTTCCCCGACAGGAAAAAAAAAAATGACAAAACGACGCAATCGATGCTCGCTGTTATTTATGCATTTTGAACGCGAAGCTCGACTCTTTCTGTCGTGGTCGTTGGTGCTGACACGAAGGCCCCGTGATGATATTGCAGAGGGCTTTCAAGCAATCAGTTCAAGCGCGCTGCGTAAGAGTTGATGGATCCGATCGTTGAATGAAATTCCGAGGGTTCTCCATACAACGCCCTCGCTGCTAAGTTGCATATCGGCTATTTTTGGCATGAGATGTTCACTGATCTCGAGCACACGGTTCCTTCGGACGTCGTGGGACGAAGCGTCGGTGGGCGGTCGACGGAGACGCTAAAGGGACCGAGGCGTACATTAATCGATCGTTCTCGTGGAACTAAACGCGATTAAGCGGCCTCGTGACAAGCCGGACGGCAGCTTGGCTGTTAGCCGCACTGTTCACGCATCCTTATGCGGTGGAGGCGCGTTTCTGTCTGCCACGTTGGTCGGTCTGTCTGCGTTGCTTGAGGCGCGTCGTCTCTCCGGCGAACGTCTTTTCTATGAGCAGTAAGGCTCAGCTGATCATCGGCTACCGAGTTCAGCTTAGGCCCGGAAGCGATACGTCCAATGGGTGTACACCCGTGAGCGATATGAAGGTGAACAACCCTCTTGTTTTTGACGCTCCTGCAAGTTTTGGAACAAGCTCTGTTCCAGAAGAGGGCTAGAACGCAAAGTTTAGACCCTGAGTAAGGTGTTCACCTTCATATTGCCGGTGGGTGTTCATTATACCAGTGGCGTAGGCAGGATTTTATTTCCGGGGGGGGGGGGGGGGGGGTTCAAAAGCAATAATCTCCCCCCCAAATGACGAAGCAGGGTGAGTTCGACGGTACGGACGGCTGTTAAGATTAAACGGGTAAAGCTGCATTGTCATTTTTCAAAACGGAGCCGGCTTCATTTACAGGAATAGGGGCGTGGTCCACTCACTGTTCTACTGTCGTCAAATAGTTGCGGCCCACCAACTTTAATCCTTACAGCACACAATTGCCTCCGCTTTTTGAGGTAGCACTGCATTACCAACTTGTGCCGGTCACACAAAACACTAGGATAGCTAAGAAAAAAAAAATAAATAGCAAAAAAAAAAAAAAAATCTTGACGCTGAAAAATTAGAGCAAGCGTCCACGCACAAACAATATTCCAAGCCGCCATGAAAATGGCTGAGACAGCGGAAGTTGAAATTCAGATGCCGCGAGTAACAAGTGGGCAACGTCAGCGCTCTAACATTCCCGCCGGAAGCACGGAAGAACATTTTTAAGCGCTCCGTGTTCCTTCCTTTCGTGGATTACCTGATCACGCAGTCAGACGGGAGATTTCAAAAACACCGGCGTACGTTGCAGTTACTTTCGTCGCTGCTGCCTGCACAGATCACGGAAAGCGGGGCAGCTCCTAACGCTGGAGAGTTTTCGGAGCTCTCTTCAGGCCAGGTTTCAGTTCCAACGCGAGCTGCTCATATGGGCTGCCAAATGAAAGAGGGAGAAACGTGGAACGGCGGCTATACAGGCGTCTCCTCAAGATCCTAGCGACTCTGCGCGTAACAGCGGCGGAAGTTGAGCGCCCGTTCTCTTCGCTACGACGGTCGAAAACTTCGGTTGAGCGACGCACCGTCTTTTGAACAATCACCGCGACATTGAAGTCCAAGCGGAGGACGTCCTGGATATTCTTTCCCATGAACGCAGGCGGCTGCATCTTAATGTTAGGCCTTTGGCATACATGAGATGACCAGGAAAGCCCGTAAATTGCTTTCTGAAATAACTAGTCACAGTTACTTCTTTATTCGCGGTAATTTCTAGTGGAAAGCACGTAATTCTGATCAGTACTCAAGGTGTGCGTGTGCGCAGCGCCACCCGTGGGTTGCAGTGCAGTTGTTTTACAAATCATTTACTATTCCTTACGTCACTGACATTGTCTTGTATTGTCACCGTGTGCTCGCTTTATTATGTTCGCTTTGGTTTTGTTGAATTGTGTGTTTTAGTGAGGATAGCTTGTTACACTTGGCCTCGAAATTGCCATCCTTCCCCCCACAAATATTTCGAAATATCCGTTCTCTATAGATCTGAGATCAAGTTCTGCATCCCATCGAATAAACATGAATGAAAAAATGTCGACTATTGTTACTTATTTGAGCATTTTGTATACACCGCCAACATTCCTCCCGAAAGCGTACAAGTTGGAGATAGTCCGCGCTCTGTGCAAAACCGACAGCGTCAACAGGGGAGTGAGGAGGCCTCGGGGGGGGGGGGGGGGGGGGGGGGGGGGGGGGGGCGTGGCGTGGGGGGGGCGTTCGATTGCCCCTGCCTGCACCAACTGCACCGTGAACCGCTCAATCGGAGAATTGATCGCCATTTCGCTCGCTATAGTCTCCTCAAGACTGCCTGAGAAAACTTTGCCCAGAAAACGCCGTTATGAACCGCCAATTCTACATCTGCCGTAATCGCAGAAATAATTATACCATCTAATGTTATCAATTTTGTATTTGTCTTAAACCTAGAGTTTAATTGGGGGGGGGGGGGGGTTCGTAAGAAAAATTGAAAATGAATTAATTATAGCAGAACCAATCTCTACTACAAGTGTCACCCTAACAAAAACCTGCAAAAAAAAAAAAAAAAAAAAATGACTTCTACGATGAATGAAACATATGCACGAATCGAACCATATATGTACTTTCTGTTTTATTAC